CGCCCGGTTAATAATAATAATAATAATAATAATAATAATAATAATATAACAATAATAATGATAATAATAATAACTTGTATTTATATAGCGCTCATATCCTGAGCTCATGGCGCTTTACAACACTGTGCGGGGGACTTTACCAGACTGCTAAGCAGTTTACAATCAAATAAAGGCGAATATGACAGATGCCCCCTCCCCCCAATTCCCAGTAACCAGGCCAGACCACATCACAGTAATCTCGTGAAGTGGGTTCTTTAACGTCCCCTGCCTAATCAAATTAACTAATTAATAGATGCAGGAGACGGGACCTCCATTTATTCGTCCCTATCCGAGAAGACTAGAATATCTAACCATTTCTTGATCGATGTTATAGAAAGGTAGCATATTCTTCTCAATTATTTTAAGACCCTGAGTGTTAGTCCGGCCGGGGCTCGAACCCTCGATCTCCCGCACAACAGTCCGGCGCTTAACCAATTGAGCTACCCAGGAGGCGCGTTCTCGAAAGGAATCTTACAAACTGAAAGCAAAAGGACATTTTAACGACTTATTCCGGCTAAAAGTGAAAAAGAACCCCTTGCCTGTTTCACAGGAACAGATCGGCTCTTACAGGCATCTGGGCTCTTTGGTAGACCTTCTGTGAGCAGGTAGAACCGGTTTAGTTGCTTCTTGAAGGTTTCTAGTGGAAGGAGGTGTTTCTTCTCGGCTTCTTCACCTTTAGATTCCTTTAAATCATCAAGTTCAGGGGTGCCAGGGTAGTCCAACCTTTCATCGAATGCTCTGTGGGGACAGAAAACGATTGGTTTACTTAAATCAAGCAAGAAAAAAAAAAGACGGATTGATGAAAACAAAAAAAAAAAACAAAAAAACAAGAAAAAAAGACTTTATTTTAAAGAAGAAACGAGAGTGATTCAGTTGACCTTCGATTTTGTTTAACCACGCTGTTGATAGAGTCACAAAAAAACAAACAAACAAACAAACCCTGTGACACCCACTCAACCAGCCAGATGGAAGAACAAAGGGGATAAGTCTTTAAAGAAACTGTTGTGCTGCGTCGATGGTGGAGTACAAGACGATAATTTTGATTTTATCAACTGAGTTAATGAAGTAAAATGGCCACTGATGTTAAGCTGACGTTTCGAGCGTTAGCCCATCGTCAGAGAGAATCAACCGAGTGAAAGACTTAGGATCCTGGGTTTGAAACCAGCCACGTGACCTACGTTAACTGCTGATTTCCAATTGGCTGATCGATTTTGACAGTTGATGTGATCGATTGTTGGTATCTCTTTTAAGTATGGCTCATACAATTATCAACACCTTGGATATGCCTGTGAAATATACAGCATGAGACTGCAAAGATTTATCAATACACAGTCGATTTTTTTCAAGTAAGACTTACAATTGATTTTCTTTTAACAGTTGTTTTAACTTCATCTCACACCTAACGGCTTTAACTCGTTCACACAATGATTTAGTGTCTGGGGAAACTGTCAGAGCAAATCTGTAACACAGATCAGCCATTTCATACATCCTCTGAGACTGTTAGAAAAAAAAAAGGATCAAACCATGTCAGCCATTCAGAACAGAGTGAAAAGCCTACAATTTGCAAAGTAATAGCAACATAGACTGTATGTTTTATTCTGGATCTGTGTAAAGTTACGTATTCCTCATGAAATTTATTTGCCTGGTCAATAATTCACTCTCGATAGTAACTGGTTTCTGCCCCTTCTTAATAATATGGGGCCTCTGAGGTTTCCGTTCTAAGCTGCTTCAAACAAAGCAGAAATAAGAATAACACATCAGAATCCACCAATCACTGATTTTTGTGAAATGTCACCTTTCCAACCCCAACATCAGTATCCATGTTCTTCATACCTTATCATTAAATTTCCTTTGCTACTGAAAAGGAGAATATCTTAACGATCATAAGCTTCTTAGAATGGCATTCATTTTCTTTATTCTCATGATCTTGATGAATTATTCAGCGGTATTATTGTTAAGAGAAATTAGATGCTGGTCACACAGGGTTTAATACATTTAACGTCTCAAAATCTTGTTTGCTGCTCTCTGCACTTGTTTACTGAGAGGGTGACACGATTGACAGCTGCCAAGAGGACAGTTCAGAATCTCTTGCTAGCAGTACAGTGCAATGCCTTAACCCTAGACCCCAAAGAGTGACCAGCATCTAATTTCTCCTTACAATATCACCCCTGAATCACACATTACGATTGCAAGAATAAAGGAAATGATCACCAACTAAAGAATCTCCTGATTGTCTAAAAAAATTCTTCTTGTCAGAACCTTAAGAAATATATAGAGAACAGTATGGAGAATTTCCACATGACCACCTTATGTAGGAAATCAAACTATTCAATGAACAATTCACTGAAAATAGTTCTGTAACACTAACAGCATCCAAAAGTGACACAGAAATCAAGATACATGTACTCACAGCATAGATATTTCCAAGTAGATAGTGATACACAGAATATTCTTGACAAGTTTCCATGGCAGCATGCAGAAGAACAATAGAATCATAGGTGTGGTTTGCATGGTAAAGTACTGCAGCAAGGCTCATCAGTGCTTGATCTTTGTGCTCCCTTAAAAGAATATGACAAGATTACATATTAACAAATAATACTTTTCAGGACACTACTTAAAAAAACGAGTGGATTCCTCTGGATTAGTCATGGCGAGAACTATTCATGTCCCAATACAAGGCACATTTTTTCACAATTTACTTCACCAACAAGGCCTTTTACTCTTATACCATTTCTATTCAATCAAGGGAAAAAAGATACTGCTTAACCTCTTCAAATGGTGCTTTCAGATCATATTGGAAACTAGTTTGTAGCTTCTCAGCTTCTCATGAGAGAGAACCTGCAAAAAATCCCCTCAGAACGAGAACTAACAAAACTTCCCTGAAAATTATTTGAGCAGAACTGAAAAAACTTACCTTGGTGAATGATACAAAGCTTGTCTTAAACATTCCACAGCATGCGCAGCATTCCCTTTAATTCTCCAATAATATGCCGCAAGATTGAGTAAAACCCAAGAAGTTGAGTTCTGTACAAAAACATGTAATTTTTCAATGTGAAAGGTGAAAATAAACTATTGGGAAGGAGTTAAAATACAGTGGGTCATTTACTGAATCCGGGTCTAATTTTGACTGTGGTTTTGTTGATTGATGGACTTCAAAAGTTTGTCACATGTGGGTTTTTTAATCAATTAGATCTTTCCTTTAGTGCTAAATAGATGCCATTTTGATAGTTTTGCCGAAAAAAAAAAGTTTTCTGCTGGACTTGACATTGTTCAGAGCACAGTTTGGAGGAATAAGGGTTAAACTTTGGCCTGGAAAATTGTATGGTGTACTGCTGCAATATCTTAAATCTACATGGCTGAAGAACCCAGCTTAAAACTCTCTTTTCTGAAACTACTGGTAAGTTGCATTTGTTTCTTTCTGGTATCTATAATTCATCGTCCATTACTGTATCCCAGCTGGCACAGAAGTGCTTCATACAGTGACACTTGATGTAATTTCTCTGTGTTATATCTAATTTAGAATTACTTAAAGAACCATAAAGAGTCAACTTCATTCTATTTATTCCATACAACTCAACATCACTGTGTCCATGAGAATATGCAAAAGCCAATCACTTTGCCTTTGAAGTTCAAATCCTAAATTCATTTGCAATCAATTATGTACTAGCTGTCTCATTAAAAAATTGACACAAAAGGAATTTAAATAGAATAAGAAAGTTTTGAACTTGGTAAATAAATAGAGAAAGATGGTCAGTCTGTTCTGAGGTTTGATTCCTCATGGGGACTCAAAATTTTTTTCTTTTTTCTTTGTCCCATGCTCGTGACAAGATGAAAATCACCTTCCTCCAAAATGAATTTAAGCTCACCTTTTTTAGAGCCAAACTCACATGGCCTCCTAATTCTCCAGCAGTTTTAAAATAAGGTGACATTGTTGTGAGTAGTGCTGGCTCAGGGATGGAATTCAGCTGATGCCGATGATTCACTCCCTCCAGATGGTCATAGCTGTGTATAACTGTTGGTAACTGAGCTTGACAAACTGGTGGCTCAACATGTGAGGGGAGTGACTGGCAAAGGCTGAGATGATCTGGAAGACTGAAACAATTCAACCCATTAATAGCCGCAGCTTTTGTGAAAAACTGTGTTTTGAAGCTAGTCGAGCAGATTTCGGGTCACTGTTGTGGTTCTAAAAGCTCAAACTTACCACAAACCCATTCACAGCTCGTACACTTGATGGCCTTTCGATCCAAATGCGAAATGGCAGCCGGAAAATCTTGGGCAGGCGCAGAAAGCAAAATTTCAAGATAGTTTTTGGGTTAAAAAGTAATGCCCCACTAACGACTTTTACTTTTCTCTCTTTCTCCTGCCCTTTTTTTTCCCTTTCCTTGCCTGAATTTTCTCCTCACTTGCTGGAAATTTAGTAGGCTTCATTTTGGTGTAAAGATTTTTTAGGAAACTACTCATTATTTTCAAACCACATGCTCAGAAAGGTAGGTGGGTAATGGAACAAGATTTTTGTGCAGATTTTCAGGTCAAAGTTACATGGTTTTTTGGCTATTTCTCCAGTCTCCTTCACTCAATTGTACTCATTCTGGTATCATTTGTAAGATATTTTCAATCTGTTTAAGTACATGCTCAAAGTTGTACTCCAGGGTTAAAAGTGATGATGTCACAAGGCGTAGAAAGGGTGTGGTTCCACATGGGTGCTTACGGGTGCACTGGACGTCAATAGGTTAAGAGAAGATGTCACTAAAAATCAGACAAATTCACAAATCACCGGCAACAGTCAAAAAATTGAATTGGCCCATATTCTAGTATTAGGTAAGCCTATAGGTAAAACAAACCAAGACATATGTATAAAGGCTGATAGTTTCGAAAGAAACTGTTTGGGGCTGCGTCGGTGGGAGTAACGAAATAATTTGGATATATCAACAAAGTTGAAATGGTAAATTGGCCACCGTATGATTACAAAAGCTGACGTTTCGAGCGTTAGCCCTTCGTCGGAGCGAAGGTGGCCAATTTACCATTTCAATTTTGTTGATATATCCAAATCAAGACATATGTAGTTTGTTGAAAAATTCTTTTGTTAATAGATCTAACAACTGCGTGACACATAAGTCACGCAGTGACAACCATGTCTACTAATTTCTTCAAAATGAATGCTTTTGGAGAAAACAAAAACAACTTCTATCATATTGCAAGTACTTTGAAGACATTATTTATATCATTCAAGCATTCATTATTACCACTGAAGCTCACAAACTGGAAATGATGAACAAAGTTTGTCTTTTCTTTTATGTTGCCGACTTTGCCGAAGAGCCAAATTTCTATGAATTTAAAACCCTCGTATAGCAGCACAAAAACCCCAGAAAAACCACTCAACAAATGGTAAGTTTATCATTCCCACTTGTCACATTTCAAATGTCAAATGTTTACTTCACTTAGCACATATAAAAAAAATTTTTTGAAGCTACCTTACTTTTCACACGGCACTTAGGTTAATAGATAGAAAAATCTGTATTTTATTTCAAATTTAAATAGTGATTCTACTTTTTCGTAAAAACATAGGGGAGACATTGTTCTAAAAGTCTGTAGAATAAACAGGTTTTTCACTGCTTTTACAAGTACAAATGAGGCCTCCAAAAATGGGCTAAATTTGACCTGCGAATGGCGGTAATTATGCATAAATCAAGTTTTATCAATTTTCTAGAAAACAAAAGAATTTTTCAACAAACTGCATATGTCTTGGTTTGTTTTACCTAGAGGCCTACCTAATACTAGAATATGAGCCAATTCGAGTTTTTGACTGTTGTCATTTTTCGTGACAACCTCTCTTATACCTTTTACTGCCAGAAGTGATTGACCTCTAACTTCTCCCTATAATATCCATACCCTATCCACAACACTCAAACTTATCAAGTGGAAGTTGTCATCTTGATCTGACACCAAATTCTTGTTACTAATTTACAAGGAGAAGTGGAGCAGCTAGAGGGGAGAATTCGCAATCAGATCTTTAGAGTTACAGAGGGGTAACCAATTTCCTCCCTTTTTTATCAGTTTTCAACTATAATCTACTTGAGGACAGATGCACAGAAGACATTATCTTTAACCCTTAAACTTCCATGAGTGACCAAGACAGAATTTCTCCTTACAATTTAAACACAATATTAAGCAGACAAGTGATGAGAATAAGGAAAAAATTAAATCTAGCGATCATTGGTTGATCCAATACCAATTTCTCTTACATCTGTTTCATAAGAATTGTATAGAAGACAGTAAGGAGAATTTCTAATGAGATCTGGGAGTTAGAGGGTTGATAATAGCTTTTTGCTTCTTTATCATATAAAATAAATATTTTCTATATTGCCATGGCTGTCTGTTTAGTGATAGATCAGAGGAGATATCAAAATGCAGCACTTGACACACTTGGCTGGGCTTCCTGTGCCACTTTTTTGTTCTTACCACATTTTGAACTCATCTGAGATCTATTATTGAACAGACAGCCACAGCAATATGGAATCTATTTTTTTTAATAGGAGCATGAGAGCAACAGTCAAATGTGGAGTGTAAACAACTACAGACAAACAATGATAATGATAATGAAGGATTTTGATAGGGCCATATCCACAAGCTCACAGCTTCTTGCTGTTTGCTATACTTGTCTTAAGATGAAAGTTTGGAGAAATTGGTATTAGATCAACTAAGGATCCCCATATAAACAATTTTCTATATTCTCGTCACTTAATATCTGCTTGATATTGCCTTGATATTGTAAGGAGAAATTCTGTCTTGGTCACTCATGGGAGTTTAAGGATTAAAACTATATTTCTAAACTTACTTGATGCCTTTCTTTGAAAAGGGAAGAGTCATTTCTAAATGTAATTCAAACTCTGAAATGTGGCCTCCTGCATCAACACAATCAGGATCTTCTATGTAAAAGGATTCTTGAATCTCTGCTCTCTCCTTTTCTCTTGCTTTAATAACTTTTCGTTTCTCTTCCAGGTATTCTTCTCGCAAGATCTTTAACCTGTCAAATGCCGTCTGTTGCTGAATAAAGGTGACCAGATCGTATGGTCGTTTGAGATTGAACACAGAGTCATCCTAGATGCAATAACACATCAGAAGTTAATTTTATTAGCACTTTATTACTACAATAGAACCCCTCTTAACTTGAAATTGCAAGGGGAATGAAAAATGGTTCAAGTTATTGGGATTGGTGTTGGCCCTTAATCACAGTTGATACAAGTGTGATTATATTTATGGAAACGTTATGCATCCAGCTAAACTTCCCAAACTAAGTGTTTTTATATATAAAAAAAAAGCTCTTATAAAACAGTTGAACTGAATGTGCAAAAATGACTGTTGATTGTGCTTGATTGTGCACAATCAACAGTCATTTTTGCACATTCAGTTTCAACTTTTTTATAAGAGCTTTTTTTTTTTTTATATAAAGGCACTTAGTTTGGGAAGTTTAGCTGGATGCATAACGTTTCCATAAATATAATCACACTTGTATCAACTGTGATTAAGGGCTTGTAAGTGTCAATCAGTTATGTTCTGACATTTTTATGTTTGTTGACCTGCATTTTAACTTAAAGTTTGAGTTATCACAGTAAATTTGAGCCAAGAGAAAGTAGCATTACCTTGAATTGACAAAGCGTTTGAGTCAACTGAATTCCAGTTAGCTGATTACTTAAATAAATGACTGGAAAATGGTTTCAAATCCAAGGAAAACTGGACCTTGTTAAAGTTAGTAAGGTTCTACTATATCATGCTAAACCTAGGACTGAAAAATTCACATCTTGTGCACATTACATTCAACAACATAATCAGCTCCACAAGAGTATTTTTGTAAAATAAGTATCTCAAAGACTTCAACAAATATTAGATTTAAGTTTGATAGAAATGGGTGGTTAATTAAATTACGGAATGAGTTCGTGCCTAAAGTAAACAACATAACAATCTCTTGTCCAAAATTATCTACCCGTCTGAAAGATCATTCAACAACATCAATAATTCACCCAGGTTTTTTTTTCCATCAAAATTTTTCACGAACGTATCCTTCAAATTTAATTAGTCTATTCAGTAAAATTGCATAATAGTACATACATGTCAAGAAGAAGACAGGATTGATGTCTGAGAAAATTTGATTATTTAATTGTGATGAATGTCCAAAAGCGATCAATAGCACGTCAACTAGTCAATAGATGGAAAACATCACGATAAAATGGGTGAAACGATTGATCAATTTAATTTAACATCAAACTCGAAGCTTATTCAAACTACCGAGCGCCGTAGTAACTACTATGAATAATTTAAAAGGTGAAAATATAAATTCGTTACCTGCTGTTGAATTCTTCCATCCTCTGTGACAAACCAATGAGTTGCTCCTTTACAGAATGGATGTAAAAATACAATTCCGATGAAAATAAAATAAAGGGATAAACTAAAATCATACATATTCTTCACTATGCTTCCACCATTTTGCCATACGTTTCCTAGTTCCCAATCTTTCTGCAAAATACGACACGAGAACGAGGTGCATACCGTCGTCGCCTTTTTACCGTTTCCCGTACCTCCAGTTTACAACATGTATCTTGTTTCATAATGTTACTTCTGCGTTCAAAGCGTTTTTGGAACGAAAGTCTACCCGAAGGAACTCCGTAAATAACTTGTATTTCTTTGTGGTACCAATAATTAAATGCGCGAATTTACCCTATTGCAGTCATTCACGGTGTGTACCCAGCCGGCAGGAGACAAACCTTTGCCTCACTAACTAGGAGGTAGGTGAGGTCTGCCTGGGGAAGATGGAGGGAGG